CTCTCTCGCTCTCTCGCTCTCTCGCTCTCTCGCTCTCTCGCTCTCTCTCGGTCTCTCCCACCCCACCTGCTGTTGTTTGCAGAAATACAATAATGACTGGTGGATCGGGCGACTGGTGAAGGAGGGCTGTGAGGTTGGCTTCATCCCCAGCCCTGTCAAACTGGACAGCCTGCGTCTGCTGCAGGAACAGAAGCTGCGCCAGAACCGCCTCAGCTCCAGGTGTCTGGCTGGGGGCGGGGCACTGTCAACCCCTGAGAGGCCCTCCAGCCCAGGACTGGGTCTCAAGGGTGGATCCATTGCCCTGAGGGCACAGAGCTGCCCGTGGCATCACCCGTGGGGCTGGAGAATCTTGGGGGCAGGGCAGCATGTGAGAGAGCGAGATTCCCCCACCTTCACACCCACCCCTTTGCTCACGGCTCCATTTGCCTCTCTGCCCACACAGCAAATCAGGTGACAACTCCAGCTCCAGTCTGGGAGATGTGGTGACTGGCACCCGCCGCCCCACGCCCCCTGCCAGTGGTAAGAGCTGCCTCCTCCCCAGGAAGTGGGGGGGAGCGCCATGGTGGGGTGGTCTCCCCACTGCCTTTGCCCTCCTTTCCCCGTAGTAGTGGGTACCCCAGCCTCAATCCTCCAAACACATCTAGTGGTCTCCTTTCCATGAAGAGTAGGCTACCCCACAAGCTGGGCCTGGCAGGCCCACCCTCTCATGTCTCTCCTTTCCCACTTCTTTGGTAGCTCCATCTCTCTGCCTGACTCCCCTACCCCTGCCCCCCATTCATTTCTCCCAGCCCTGTTCCATTCACCTCTTCTTCTTTCTTTCTTTTTCCCCCATCCCATCCCTGCGTTCTGTATTTGTGTCTCCATGTCCATCTCACTCCTCCCCTCCTCGCCTCCCTCCCTCTCTTCTGACTCTTCGGTCCAGGTAATGAAATGACTAACTTAGCATTTGAACTAGACCCCCTAGAGTTAGAAGATGAGGAGGCAGAGCTCGGGGAGCACTGCGGCTCTGCCAAGACTAGTGTTAGCAGTGTCACCACCCCGCCACCCCATGGCAAACGCATCCCCTTCTTCAAGAAGGTAATTCTTGCTGGGTTCTTACAAGAGGGGAGGGAGTCAAGGCCCAGCTCTTTGGTGGGTGTGGGGGAGGTGGGGTGAGTGATGATGGTGCTGGAATGGATTCAGATGTGGTACCAGCATGATTTCTGTGGAGATCAAGGCTTCCTGCCGAGAAGGAGGGAGGGGTGGGACGGCATGGACGATAGGCACATCCATCTCCACACATAACTCCACCCTGGTCCACTGCGCAGGAAGGGATGGTTCTTGTAATGGAAGCATCCCTTCCCTGGGAAGGCTGCTCCCTGACCCACTGGCAGCATGGTCTGGTGCGAATGAAACCTGACCTTTCCCCTCCCTGCCAGTGGGATATTCCATGTTTACCCCCCACCCCTGCATGTGAAGGGGAGAGTGGAATGGTGACCCTTCTTTGTCCTTTTCAAACCCCATGGGACTAGGGTGGGGCTAGGACTCCATGTGGGGGTCTGCTGGCTGTAGAACAGGACAGTTAAGGGAACCCTTAAAATGGGCCTATACTGGAGGCAGGAGATGGGCACCGAAGTAAAGAGCTGTCACCCTTCCCAGCTCATTTCCAAGATCCAGAAAGGGGGTCTTGGTCTGTCTGAATAGTCCCAAGTCCACTGGACTGATTGTCAGCCCCGCTCCCAGCCCTGATCCAGGGCCGTCCCTGGCTCCCGTTTGGCATGGGGTCCCAACCCCACCTCTCTAGCTCTGTCACTAACACGCATGCCCTGTTATCTCTCCTCGTCTGCCTGCTTTTCCTCCCTCTCTTGTCCTGGCTCCTCCCTTGCCCTCTGCCCCTGCCTGGGTGCCTTTCCTTCTTTCCCCCCCCCTCCCCCCTCTTGGCAATCTCTGGACCCAGCCAAACAGAAGCAGAAGTCGGTGAGTATCACAGCTTTCTGTGTCCCCCCTCCCCCCACCCTGGGATGAGCTAGGGGGATCTTCTAACACCCATTCCCATATCTGCCTCCTGGTTCTCCCTGGCCATCCCTCCCCACCCCCACCCTGATCCCCACATCTGGGCTCTGGGACTAGGGAGAGGAAAGGATGCATGGGGGTGCCTGGAGGCTGGGGGAGAGGTGCTAATGCCATCTCCACTCTGGGGTTTCCCCTCCCTGCTTCCCCTCCAGACAGAGCATGTGCCCCCCTATGACGTGGTACCTTCCATGAGGCCCATCATCCTGGTAGGACCATCGCTCAAGGGCTATGAGGTAGGAGCCCTTAGAGGGCAGTGGACTCAAAGGGGCCCTGACCTCCAGAGAGACTCCAAAGAAAGGTTCAGATGCCAGAGAGATCTTGGGGGAAGGGCCCAGGTTCCCAGCGTATCCTCCCCAGAGGGCAACAGACCTTCATAGAAATTTCCCAGAGGGTCCCAACCCACAGGGAGACTCACTCAGAAAGGTCCAGTCCCTCCCAAAACTCCCCCAGAAGAGTCCTCCCAGAGGTAATACCTAGAAGGACCTTTGGAATCAGAGGTCCTACTGGAGTCCCCTCAGACTCAGAAGGTATCCCCCTCCCCCTTCCCAGGGGCCCATTCAGCTCAGGAATTTAATAAGAAAATGGAATGTGAGGGTACAGATACCCAGCACCCCACCCTTCCTGAGTGGCTTTAAACACCTCTATTTCTCAACCCCCCCCCAACCCCAACCCCCACCTTCAGGTTACAGACATGATGCAGAAAGCTTTATTTGACTTCTTGAAGCATCGGTTTGATGGCAGGTAAGATCCTGGGAGGTAGCTCCCCACTCCCACTATGGTCCCCTGCTGCTGGGGATGGGCAGGATGGCTTGAATGATAATCTTGGGACTCTTGGACCAAGGGATAGGAGGCAGTCCTGGAGCCTGGGGAGTGGGCAGGGCATTCTAGCCCGCCCTGACTCGTGATTCCCTTTGTTCCATCCCCCAGGATCTCCATCACTCGTGTGACAGCAGACATTTCCCTGGCTAAACGCTCAGTCCTCAACAACCCCAGCAAACACATCATCATTGAGCGCTCTAACACACGCTCCAGCCTGGGTGAGCTCACCCCTCAACCGCCCTCTCTGGGGCCAGATGTGGGAGGGGAAGAGGGTGGAGGGGCATCTCCAGAAGCGTTCTATCCACTTACTGCCTCCTGGGGGGCTCCCTTACATCTCCCCCTTCCCCGTGACTCCATGTCCCCCAGCTGAGGTTCAGAGCGAGATTGAGCGAATCTTCGAGCTGGCCCGGACCCTTCAGTTGGTTGCTCTGGACGCCGACACCATCAACCACCCGGCCCAGCTCTCCAAGACCTCACTGGCCCCCATCATTGTTTACATCAAGATCACTTCTCCCAAGGTGGGTGCAGGAGTCGGACCCTACTGGGGACAGGAGCACTCAGGAGTCAGGCTGCCTATTTAAATCCCAGCTACCTCTTACTAATGTGGGCCAGTCTCCCCAGCCTGACTTCCTTCTCTGTAAAACTCCCATCATATAGATATCGTGAAGATTTCAACCTGAAATGAATACTTGCACTCAGCAAAGGGTCTGATATAATGTACCTCATCATGTGTTAGCTCGATAATATTATATAAAGAATAATAAAAATATGTTTATTAGGGTCGTGCAGGCCCAGTCCCCTGTCTCCACTCTGGCTGACCTCCCATCCTTGGTCCTGAAAACTGAAAGAATTCTGTGCGTGTCGTCCCAGTGTCACTCGGCCACTTGACAGTTGGGGAGGTCTTTCCTGTCTTTGGATTTCAGCCCTTTTTGCTGCACTGTCCTCGTTTGGACCTTGATAGAGATGAAATCGATAAGAAGGCTGATTTACTTTGTCATATTGCAGCACCATTTTTTCCCCCTCCCAGATAGGAGTGGGGGTTTGAGGAACATGGAAGGCAAGTGTAGGTAAAGGATTTGAAGTTGGAAGACAGCTTGGGGTTCAAATCCTAGCTCTGGTTGGCTTATTAATTAGGTTTTGTTGTTGGTTTTTTGGCTGTTACTTTAATTGAAATGGAGGCCTTTGAGCCTCAATTTCTTCACATATAGAATGGGGATTATAACCCCTCCCTGTGTTATTGGTGAGAGGATTCGATGTAATGGTGTAAAGAGCCCGGAGTCTGATTTCATGATGGCAGCAAGGGGTGGTGATTGTTATCATCCACGATAGCACCTTATGAGCTGAGCACCCCGTTACTTAACCTTAACCTTTCTGAGTCCTAAGTTTCTAATGAGCATAAAGGGGATGATAGGATCTAAGTACTTCCTCAGGGTGATTGAAAGGATCAAGTGAGATAATGGATGCAAAACTACTTTGTGAAGTAGAAAGTAACAGATCCGCCTGTTTCCCCCAAGGAAGAGCACTGACTGAGGTTAAGGGTGGGCACTCAGAGTTCAGACTGCCTGGCTTTATGCCCAGCGCTGCCACTTACCAGCACTATGCGCCTTTGGCAAGTCACCTAACCTCTCCTTGCTTCAGTTTCCTCATCCACAAAATAGGGATCCTCAGGTGGTGGTTGTGAGGATTAAATAAATGGATTACCCATGCAAAGTGGCTGGTACCCACTAAGCACTATATCTATTCTATTTTTTTTTAAAGATTTTTAGTTCAAAGTAATGTCAAATTTGCAGAAGAGTTGCAAGAATAGTAGAAAGACCTCTCATTCTTTGAACACCCTTCACTCAGATTCACAAATTTTTTTAACAGCTTCATTGAGAGATAATTCACATATCATTCAATTCAGCCATTTAAAGTATACAATTCCATTTTTTTCATTTACTAATTTTGAACATTTTGCCACATGTACTTTATGTATGTATGTATTATGTACATAACCATTTGAGAGTTAGTTGTGGATATTGTATGCCTTTATCCCTAAATACTTCAACATGTATTTCTTAACAACAAGGACATTAACTTAACCACCATACAATTGTCAAATTCAAGAAATGTTATCTAAATTACAGTCCATCTTCAGTTCTCACCAGTTGTCCCAATAATGCCCTGCATGGCAGTTTCCCCCTCAATGTAGGATCACGTGTTGCATTTAGTTGTTATATCTCTTTAGTATTCTTTAAGCCAGAACAGCTATTCAACCTTTCTTGGATTTTCATGATACTGACATTTTTGAAAAAGTACAGATCACGTATTTTGTAAACTGTTCCTTGGCGTTGGTTTGTCTGATGTTTTCTTCATGACAAGATTTAGGTTTTGCCGTTTGGGTTGGAATATCAGCAAAGCGATGTGTCCTGAGTGCGTTGCATCAGGGGGCACATGATATTGGTTTGTTGCATCGTTGCTGATGTTAACTTTGATCACTTAGTTAAGGTTGTGGCTTTGTTTTAGCTATTAGTATCATTATTGTTATTGAGTGAGAATAATAATAGCGGTTACCTAACGGGATTGATCGTGTATAAAGCACCAAATAATGCCAGTATGTAGCAAGTGCCCCATAAAGCATGGCTGTTGTTAACATGGAGGGGAGGTTAGCCCTGAGAATGAAGCCTGTAAAGGTTAGAGGGGCTGGGATGAGAATCACTGCCCTTCACGTAGCCATTGCTAGGAGAACGTCCCAGGACAGGCTGGCATGAGCCCCGGGAGAGAACCTGAGCGTTGTGTAGGATATCCAGAGCTTTAGAAATCACCTCACAGAGCTGCTGAGGCGATTTCTAAAGAGGTGGCCAGGGCTGAGAGTCACTGAACATCGCCGGGCCCTGGCACTGGCTCGCCATCCTGGCTCCAACCAGGACCTGCCTTTCTGAGTTGGTGCATTACGGGGTCCCTCTAGCTCCTCTTCTCTCCCCAAACCAGGTACTTCAGAGGCTCATCAAGTCTCGAGGGAAGTCTCAGTCCAAACACCTCAATGTCCAAATAGCAGCCTCGGAGAAGCTGGCGCAGTGTCCCCCCGTGAGTGCTCAGACCCAGGGGAGGGCGGGTGGGAGATTTGGATTCTGGCCTCCTCTGGCCTGCGTGGGAGACAGAGTGACCAGGAACACCTGGGCCGGGCCCATAGGTGCAGACTGGTCTTAGGGGAAAAAGTGCTGGACAGGCAGTCAGAGACTGACTTCAAGCCCCAGAAGCACCGCTTCTCTGCGGCGAGTAAGCCTTGGCTGCCTTAAATCTAAAATGAGGCAGTTGGATTATGTGGCTGCCAAGACCTCTTATAGTTCTGCCAATGCATATATGAGTGCTCTCCTTCTCTTCCTGGACATCCAGAGGTCTCTTTTTAACTTTGTCCTTCAACCCCTTGACTCTCTGCCCACTGTGCCCAGGCCACACCCTCACTCCCTTGGTAATGCCTGGCTCATCCCGGCCCCACCCCTAACCCCACCTCCACAGGAAATGTTTGACATCATCCTGGACGAGAACCAATTGGAGGATGCCTGCGAGCACTTGGCAGAATACTTGGAAGCCTATTGGAAGGCCACCCACCCGCCCAGCAGCACTCCACCCAATCCACTGCTGAACCGTACCATGGCTACTGCAGCCCTGGCTGCCAGCCCTGCCCCTGTCTCCAACCTCCAGGTACAGGTGCTCACCTCACTCAGGAGAAATCTCAGCTTCTGGGGCGGGCTGGAGGCCTCACAGCAGGCCAGGGAGGTGCCCCAGCAGCAGGAGCACACCATGTAGGTGCCCCACGCATCTCCCCTCCTGCCAGGGCCCGGAACTGGAGCACAGGGAACATGGGGAAGGAAGGAAAGAGCTTTATTTTGTAAAAAAATGTGGTGAGTGGCAGTTTCTGGTGTCTGTGGTTTTTGATGGGACTGGGGCTGGCTGGTGTTCTCTGGGCCTGGTCCCATAGGACTACATCTGCTGCCTTGGGGGCTTCTAGCTATGAGGCCTGATTAGGGGCCTTATAAGACAAGTGGCTAGGAAGAAAACATGAGGAAGACTGAGAGATTCATTCGCTGGACTCTAGACCCATTTTAGACCCAACAGAGCAGGAGGCCTCAGACCGAGAATCCCACAGAGCAGGGGCCATTAAACCCAGAGAGACTGCCCCTTCCCCTAGGCCCCTAATCCCAGGAGGCCCTTCAGAGGGGACCCAGAATGTAGCATTTTCTGTGATTGATGTTGGACATTCCATTCTTCTCCCAGTGAAACAGATTCCAGGAAAGGCCCTCCTGTGGGTGCCCTGCCATGGACCCAGGGCCCATCTCTGAGGTCACATTATTAAGTATTTGAGTCTAGATTAGAGCTAGAAAGAAACCCATTCTAAACCGTTGCTTTTCAGATATATTTTCAGCAACAGATCCCAGTTGTGCACTGAATCTTACAAGGGAGCTCATGTAGCTCAGACAGCCTTGCTCTGCTCAGAGGGGGCTAGTGGCTTGGCCTCCACTTCGCCTCCACGGGGACCCATGAAGCATTTCTGTGCCCTCCTCACCACCACCGCCCCCCACCCCCGCCTCCGCACCCCCAGACCTCCAGGGAACAGTTTGGAAACTGTTGCTCTAATCTCCATCACACCACCACAGAGAAACGGGGCCACAGAGAGGGGAGCCATTTGCTTAGGGTTACACAACTTAAAATGACAGGGGCAGGACTAGGACCCAGGCCTCTTTGTACCCACATGGCAGCCTCCGTGGTGGCAATGGCCTTCAGGTCACCTTTATGTGGCATTTGGTGCTGAGGACATTGGGCCACCTCATCGTCGCCTGTGGGAGATGGAGACCCATCGTCCTTCTCCAGCAGCTGCTTTGAGTCTTTGCTGGGGGCTGGGGAAGAATCCCATCTGACTGGGGCAGAGGGGAAGTATGGGGTTCTAGAAGCCTCTGGTCAGGGTCTGGTTTATGCAGAAGGAACTGGGGTTTGTGAGCTTGAGCTGAAATCCCCTTAATATGTTTGGAAAACGGGCAACGACTAACTTAATCAACCACTAATGAGTAGTAATACTAATGAGCTGTTAGTGATGATTTACCCTAAGACAGCATTAATGACGTGTGTTGAAGCGATGACTAATTGTTCATGGGCTCTGTACCATGGTTACCAGGAGAGTTCACGCCTCCTCACGCCTTAGGAAAGCTGGATGCCCCCCTATCCCAACAGAGGAGCAAATGTCCTGAGGTTTGTCTGTCTGGGCTCTAGAGCCATTGGCTCTGCTGCCCATCCCCTAGAGCCAGACCCCTCCTCCCTCAGTTGGGCTGGTGTCTTGGTTCGGTTACTAATCTGCCTTGCTTTGTTGTGTTTCTCTCACCCCTGCTTGATCTGCATGGTGTGTGCCATCTGTCTGCTAACCAGGGACCCTACCTTGCTTCTGGGGACCAGTCGCTGGAACGGGCCACCGGGGAGCACGCCAGTGTGCACGAATACCCCGGGGAGCTGGGCCAGCCGCCAGGCCTTTATCCCAGCAGCCACCCACCAGGCCGGGTGGGCACCGTGCGGGCACTGTCCCGCCAAGACACATTTGATGCTGACGCCTCTGGCAACCGAAACTCTGCCTACACGGAGCTGGGAGACTCGTGTGTGGACATGGAGACCGATCCCTCAGAGGGGCCAGGGCTTGGAGACCCTGCTGGGGGCAGCACCCCACCGGCCCGGCAGGGATCCTGGGAGGATGAGGAAGAAGACTATGAAGAGGAGGTGACTGACAACCGGAACCGCGGCCGGAATAAGGCCCGCTACTGCACGGAGGGCGGGGGTCCAGTGCTGGGGCGGAACAAGAACGAGCTGGAGGGCTGGGGGCGGGGTGTGTACATCCGCTGAGAGGCAGGGGCCACACAGTGGGAGGAAAGGCTCAGCCCAAAGGAGGGGCGGGACAGCGGGCTCACCTCCGGGGATGTGTCTTGCCTCCAGGGGGCGCTGTCTCCCTCCTTTCAGATGCCTTTGCTCAATGTTTGGGGTTTCTTGGGTGGTAGCATTCCCAGTTCCTGGGAGTCCTTAAGCCCCAGTTGTAGGTTTTTATCTACCTGCTGTGGATGGATGGGGGATGCCCACCTTTCTGCAGTGTCCCCTTTCCCCCACCTAAGGGGGCTCTCTCCCAGAGAAAAGGTGCACTTCCTTAACTCTTTCTACTTGGGGCTCTAATTAAGGGTCCTAAATGGGTGACCCTTTTTCCCACCTGGAGTATTTAGGAACGGTAGGGGGCTTTTCCTGGAGAGGGAGACCCCAGACTTTCCCATGGGGATTCTCTTCCCCCAAACCCCAGATCCAGGGTCCCTCACCATGACCAGCCCTTCCCCCAGCGTTCTGACAGCATTGTCTGGTAGAAGAAAGCTACAGGGTGGAAGCCCCTTGGGGAGGGGTCTAGATAGAAACTGGCAGGCCTCAGATGTAGGGCCATCTGCTTGCCCAGGACCTAACACTGAGGAATGGACAACCCAAGACGCTGCTACCCACCCCACCACCTCCATGCCCCAGCCTTTGCCTGCTCCAGGAATGAGCTTTGCCTACAACATCCCTTGCCTGCTGCCATCCGAGGAGGGGCCCTCTGTGTCTGAGCCCCCTGTCCCTGTGTCACCTGGGTGTGGAGCCCATGGAACGCTCTGGTCCGCCTCATTTTGAAACCAAAAACTGCTCATTCATTCTCACCCTGAGGCCCCAGGAGAGAGGCCCTATGGGTTGGTGCCCAAGAAATGATCACCACCCCAAGGGGTTGCCTCGGGACCACGGATCTCCCTGGGGGGCTTGGCTGCTGCTGCTGCTCTATATTTGCCTCTTGTGATCCTGTCCTTGATCCACGTCCACTCCACTCCCCCCAGAAGCCTTCGTACCCCCTCTGCTCTGGAGTGCCCCTCTGCCTAGCATCTCCATAGCCCAGCAGCCCTGCCCCTCCCCAGCATCTCAGCTGGGCCAGAGAGAGCCGATTGTGCCAACGAGGACTGGGCCTTGCCTGGATGCCCACCTCAGGGATGGGCACCTCATGCCTGTCTCACCACCTCCTGTGCCAATGTTGTCTCACCCCCCACCTGGGGGTGGGGTGCAGCTTCCACTTACCGGTTAGAAGAGACCACTGCCCAACCTTTCCCCCTCCCTGTCTGGTGTCCTGTGCCCCATCTGTCTGTCTGTTCGTCTGTAACCTCCTAGGAGAAGTATTTTGCCACATATAAAACCGCCACCCTGTCCTTTGAGGTGCCTCCTGAGCCTGCTTCTTTGTTCCCGCCACAGTTGCCAGCCTAGCCATGTGGGAACTGCCAACGTGCAGGGGGGATGGAAGGGGTGTGTACAGAAGTAAGCTGTGCCCCGAGAGTTGACTCAAGAGAGATGGAGCTTTGTTGTGTTGCTGATGCGTTACATTCAAGCTTGACAGGAGCTGTGTGGCCAGTCTCAGTCCCCACTCAGCCCCAAAACCCACGCCTAACCTATTTCCCCCATAAGTAGAGCCAGAAAAAATGGGGAGCTGAGGCAGGGAAATGGGGTATCATTCAGTGGGTGAGACCCAGACCCACTGGCACAATACCTTAAAGCAGTGGTTCTCAACCTGGTGGTCGAACGACCCTTTCACAGGAGTCGCCTAAGACCATCGGAAAACAAGATATTTACATTACGATTCATAACAGCAAAATTACAGTTATAGAGTAGCAACGAAAATAATTTTATGGTTGGGGGTCACCACAACATGAGGAACTGTATTAAGGGGTCGCGGCATTAGGAAGGTTGAGAACCGCTGCCTTAAAGGCTTGTGCTTGTTTTTCTGCTGTGGTCTCAGCTGCTCCCCAACACCTCAGGGGAGGGAGGGGCTGAACTTCTGGCTTTCTCCATAGATGCCCCCACAACTACCATCCTCCCAGACCCTACTAACCAGGCATGGGGGTTGAGGGTGGGGAGGAGGGCTACTTGCGGGGAGGAGCAGAGAAAAGCAGGGACTCACCCAGTTCCATCCTCAGAGAAAGATCACGAGTGAGGAAGAAAGTCAGCAGGTGACTGCGGTTTTGCCTTCAGCTGGCAGGATGTGAACTGACTACTGCTGTCACCTGTATCATGCCTCATGTAGCACCCACAAACTATTTTTCACTCCTGGTTCTTGTTTCTGGGTGGGGGGCGGGGGCAGGGGTGGTGGACCAAAAGGACTGGAGCCCCTGGGTCCTTCACCTGAGTGCTCCTGTGCAAAGTGCGTATTTGTGTACAGAGGGCAACAGACATCCAGGTCCCCCAGATGAGGGCTTAGCAGACCCAAGGAAAGAGGAATTGAGCAGGCCCACAGGTCAAATCACTGGCCCAAGGTCCCTGGGGAGTGGATGGCAAAGATAGCAGGCACTGTTGGGACTGGAATTTGGTCTCTGCCTCCCAGCATAACGCTCTTCACATTGCCTTGCAATGCAATCAATCCTTCATTCCGTGTTCATTCATTGAACATTCACTGAGCACCTACTATGTACGAGGCACAAGTCTAAATGGGAACCACAGGTGATTCAGGACAGCACAATGAGCTCTTTGATATGAGAAGCACTGGGTCCTGGGGGAACCTGAAAGAGGTGTCACTCCCTTAACCTGGGGAAGCCAGGAGAGGCTTCCTGGAGGACATGAGGCTTGAGTAGAGACTAGAAGCAGAGAAGTGACGGAGGCAGAGAAAGCAGGTGACTTACAGGACATGTTCTTGGACTTCACTAGTAAAGCGTGCTCTCATGGCGGTGGTCAGAGAGGGGTTGGCAGGAGCAGGTCACAGTGGGCCTTGGGTCGTGTTAAGGAGTTTGGACTTTGTCCTGAAGCTGGTGTGCAGGAATTGAAGGATTGATTGTAAGCAGCGATGGCATGATTGCCTTGGTTGCAGTTTGGAGCATAGATTGCAGGGCCTAGCCTGGAAATCTACAATATTCCAGGTGAGAAATGAAGAGGGTTTGCATTAGGCTTCAGCAGTGGAATGGGAAAGGAGGCGATAGTCACCAGAGACACCTACCAGTTAGAATCAAGAGCTTTTGGAGAGCAATTGGAGGTGGCCAGTGAGAGAGAGGGAGGCACCTGGGGTTCCTGTGGGTCACAGGGAGCAGGTGAAAAAACCGGGTTAGAGGCAGAAAGGATGTCTTGCTTTGGACAAGGTGGGTTTATGGTGCTTACCGGAGATCATCCAAGGGGAGAAGGGCAGAAGACAGCTAAGTGCTTGGTCTGGAGCTGACCAGAGCGCTCCATCTGGGGTGGAACCTGGTATTTTGAGTCAAGGGCAGGGATGATTAACTCTAGTTTACAGATAAAGCTCAGAGAGGTTAAGCAACTTGGCCATAGTTACACTGCCAGTGAGCAAAGACTTGAACTAAGATCACTGGGTTTCAAGTTCTGTGATGCCCAAGTCTAGTGCTAATTCCCCTGCCCCAGGATGCTGCTGCAGCTTCTGTGAGGGGTGGGGGGCTGGGGAGGAGGAAACAGGTGTCTGAATGTTTTTGTCTCCTCCCCATGTGCCTACTGCCTGAAATTGTACTTGCCCAGAACTTGCAGGCAGGGGCATTTCTGGGTGGCTTGGAGATACATATAGATGAGGAGAGAGAGATTCTTGTCTCTTGGTAACCACAAACCCTCAATCTACATAGTTAGCACGTTGGTGGTTGTCAACATGTGAAGATGTCACAACCATGAAGTCGGCTGGGACTAGGCCCAGAGAGGCTGGTGCTACTACCACAGCTGCCTCAGGGGCTCAGGAGCTGAGGCGCTGGAGACACCCCTACCTGGAAACCCCTCATCTCCTTACCTTGCTAGCTAAATCAGGCCTTCCCACCTACTGTCTCTCAGGGTTTTTTTGTTTTGTTTTGTTTTGCTTTTTTTGGTATGTGTGTTTGTCTCCCCACTAGACAGTAAGCTCTCTACTAGATGGTAAGCCCCATAGTCCCAGACTGGGTCTGTTTTGTCTACTTGGCATGTTTCCTAACTCCTGATTCCTATTTGTCAAATGAATGAATAAATGAATGAACTGCCCCTAAGATCCAGGCTCTGGGCCTCACAGTGAAGGCAGCTCTTGTCTGTTTACTGAATATGCTCCAGCTAGCAGAATGTTACTTTCAATTCTGCAATTGGTGGTGGTGGTAGAGGGGGTAGGGTACACTGTTGTCCCCACCGGGAAACAGATGGTGAAAATGCTTAACACATTGCTGCTTCCCCCAACACCCCCCTGTGCCCTCACCCTACTGCACCCAGCTGCAGCTCCAGCTCTTTCTTTCCTAGGGCTGAAATGGAATTAGCCGGATGGGCTCTGCAAGCCAACTCTCCTTCCTTCTAACTCTGGGTACCAAGCTGGGTGGGACGAAAATTCTGTATTTAGTAAACTGTTTTCTCTCTTGTCTTCACAAACTTCCCAGCCTTCCTCAGTCCTCTTTAACTTGTGCTCATACTTCTTCTTTTAATACTCCAAACACCATTTCTCAGGCTGTAGCTTAACTCACTGTACTTCAGTTCAATAGCAACACATTCCTACTGTGTGCCAGGTACTGGACCAGGTAGGGAGTGAGGGGGAGTACACAGGTGAGCAAGACATGAACCCTGCCCTCTAGAACTCATAGGCGATTGGATGAAACAGACATGCCCATCTGCAATCTCTGTGGAGAGAATCCCACATGGCTGGAGAGCCAGGCCAGGGCTTTTATGGCAGGCAGTTAAAGGGTCTCAAGAATCCCTCTTTCTGAGAAAGGGAAAGGCATTCAAGTGGAGGAAACGCAGAAGCAAAAGCACCGTTGGAAAGAACTGTGCACGGGTGGTGAGCAAGGACCAGTGGATGCAAACATGGGAGATAAGCTGCAAAGGCAGATGGGGGCTGTTCATGGAGGCTGTTGAATGTCAGGTGAGACTGATCTGAATCCAGTGGGCAGTAGGGAACCATTGAAGGTTTATGAGCTGTGGAGGAATAGACTCTGAGCTGTGCTTTAGGAAGGTTAATAGGGCTGTTAGGAGGATGTCCTGCTAAGGGGGAGGCAGAGGCAGGACGGCCAGTTAGAGAGGGCTGTTCCCTTCGTGAAGAGAGCACACTAATGGGCTGTAGGAGGGCAGCGACAGTGGAGTGAAAGGAGCTGATTCTCCTGTGTGATGACTGGCATCTCCTAACCACCCCCGCAGCTTGGGGTTGGTTTGCCTTCCCCACTTCTCTTTTTTGTTTTCTGGTTTTTCCCAGTTTAAGCAAAAAAGAAATTCACAAAACCAAATGGCTCTCCCTTCCTCTTCCAGACTGGCTGTCTCTTGGCCCAGGTTCTCCTCTGCTGGGTCTTAGTATCTGGGAACCCTCTGTAGGGTCTCTGGCTGAGATCTCTTTTTCCTCCATCCCTGTCTTCAGATGCCTACCCTTGGGAACCAGGGAGCTGTGCCTGAGCAGTGGGTTTGTCAGTGAGTCATAGAAGTAGCACCAATTAATTCCTAGAGTTGCCCATCACCAAGGTGCCTGGAAAAGGAGGGAGACCCTGCCCTTCTCCAGGGGAACTCCCTTTGGGGCCTACAAGACCCTCACTAGTGAACACCTAGAGATCTGTTGAGAGTTGGAATATTCTCCCAGCTCAGAGAAAGCGAGAGGATCTGAGCCCTGTCTGCCCCACACAGCTGGTAGGTGCAGAAGGTGGCTGGCCAAGGGCTTTGCTTCAGTCTCATGCCCCAGACATGGCACATGGAGAAGGGAAAGCTGGGATCCAGTCGCGGGTCACTGTGCTGAGTCTCCTTGATTTGCAGTGGGAGAGCGAGCAGTCCACCCAGAAAACTCGGGAGTTTTCTCAGGGCAAGTGGGAGGATGTGGAGTCTGATCCCCATTTTCCTTGTACCTCCAGAGTTCTGGGCAGATAGTTTGTTTTCACCGTGACGTCTATAGCGCCTGCGAGGGGCCAGCGTCCCAGGGGATTCCCAGGCCCTGCAGAAGACTTGTGGGGCTTCGGTGACTTAATAGGCAGAGCTCGCTTGGCCCTCCCCGGGGGGGGCGGGGCTCCAAGCATCCGGGCTCGACCCTAGCCCCCGAAGGCCATCGAGTCCTGCCCCTGCCTGGCCCGGGATACGCCATGGGACAACTGATCGCCAAATTGATGGACGTCTTCGGGAAACAGGGTACGGGACGCACAGTATATCCAAGCGACCGCTTTGATCCGGCTCCCACCTGGGGGCTCCCCGGACTTGGGGTCGCCGGGGTGGATGCGCTGGGGGACCTCGGGCTCGGAGAGTCAGGGGTGGGCGCTCCTCGCGGGCTGCGCAGTCTCCCCTGCCCCCTCCCCGCCTGCTCGTAGCGGGTCGCGGGCTTCGGTGCGCCCCGAGGGCGCAGGGCTCGGCGAGCCTCCTTCCTCCGGGTCAACGCCGCGGGGGATTTCCTGCGATTGTGATTTCGGGTTGGCTCTCTCCCCTGACTCCTTCTCTTTTGGCGAGCTCAGAGCTCCCCGGACCCTTCGGACAACCACTTTTCTGGAAATGTAGAGCGAGCGAGGTGGGGCTCAGCTCCCATTCCCACTGTCCGGGAGTGGGGCAGGTGTCCCGGGCCCGGTGGGAGAAAAACCTGTCTTTTATTGGGTGTGGGGCTGGAGGCGGGGGATCAGAAGTGGTACCGTGGGGAAGGTCCCTTAGCCTGCTGGAAACACTTGTCTCTTTCCTGGGAGGCCTGGTGGGTCACCCAGTACCTTGGTCATCGCGTTTGGCTCTGACTCTGCCCTTACCCCGGATGCCTCCAGAGCACAAGGTTATCATCGTGGGACTGGACAATGCAGGAAAGACCACCATTCTTTACCAGTTGTAAGTGACTCCGGGGTGAAAGGGGGAGGGGATTTGGGCCTTCCTGTAGCCAGGAGGAGTGATGTGGAAAACGCTGGTGGGACCTTCCTGGTATAGTGGCCCCTTAGTTCAGTGGCCCCTCGGCCTGGCATTCATATCCTGCTTGGTATGGGCAACCCCCGGCCCTGCCAAACCCGGCTGCAGGCTTGACGTTGTCTAAACCTGCCTTGTGAGCAGGCAGGTTCTTCCCACCTTTCTGCTCTTCCCTCCCCCTAGCGGCAGGTCCCCCTTTTCTAACCCCTGCACCCCACCTTTGCGTCTTAACTTTCTCTCCCTTCTGAAAACCTAAAGGGGAGCACCAGCTTTGGGTCCAGCTGGGCCCTGGAGCTCCTGGTCTGGCAGATTCTGGCACTTGTGCTGAGTACCCATCAGAGCTTCCCCCGAAATTCACTGTCTGGATGGCATCTCTCGGGTTCTGGAGACTCTGGGCATTTACTTAGGACAAATTTTCCCCTGAAAAAGTGATATATGTAAATGGTTTTTAAAAATGAGAAGAAAAGAGAAATCCAAACAGTACAAGAGCATGCAGTGAAAAGTCAGTTACTCACTCTCTCACCCCTAACTCCTGGTTTTACTTCCCACATCTTCCAGAGGCATTCCTTATATGTAAAAGTGTGTTTTTTTTTTTACTGTTTCCCCGAAAATAAGACCTAACTGGAAAATAAGCCCTAGCGTGATTTTTCAGGATGCTCGTAATATAAGCCCTACCCCTAAATAAGCCCCAGTTAAGATCGTCAGCCAGACATGACTGTTTGAATAAATGTAGATTTTTGTACATGAATAAAAGAATAAATGTAGATTGTTGGAGCAAAAATTAATATAAGACCTGGTCTTATTTTCAGGGAAACACGGTATGTCACTATAAACAGCACCTTTCTGATGGCCCTCCCTCATGTCTTGTTTCTCTAACTCCTTGCTTTTCAAAGTGTGGTCCACAGACCAGCAGCACTGGCCTCAGCTGGAAGTCTGTTAGAAGGGCAAAAGGCTGAGCTCCAGCCCAGGCCCACTGTATCAGAATCTGCATTTTAACAAAACTCCGCGGTGATTCAACTGCATATTAAAGTTTGGGCAGACTGCTCTATTAAGTTTCCTCTCTCTGGGGTCCGAGCAAGGACAAGACTTGGTCTCACTCCTGCCTGTGTACCCTTATGCCCAGCAGAGGCTCGGTTACCCTGGGCTGAGTTGTTCTGAATTCGATAGAGCCTGACTTGGGAGCAGAGTGGTGGGAGGCCAGAGCTGGGAGTGGGCTGGGCTGAGTTCTTGGTACCCTCTCCTACCTCCCCAGCTTGATGAATGAGGTGGTCCATACATGTCCCACCATCGGTAGCAATGTGGAGGAGATCGTTCTGCGAAAGACCCACTTCCTCATGTGGGACATAGGCGGACAGGAGGCGCTGCGCTCCACCTGGAACACGTACTATTCCAACACTGAGGTGAGGGGGGCACTGGGCCTGGAGGGGCTGTGTGATATCAGCCAGCCTTAACCTCTCTGAGCCTTGGTTTTCCCACTTGTGAGATGGAGATCATAATAATGACTTCCTTGAGTTGTTGTGAAAATTAAATAATAAAAAAAATAGCTAATGCATGTGTGTCAAATACTTAACGCAGCACAGTGCCTGTTAACATTTTTGAAATATCCTAGCAGCTTTGTCTGCTTGCTGGCAGCTTTCTGTTTGATGCACTGAATGGGGCAGAACCTTTGTCTCCTTCCTTTCTCACCCTGGCAGCAGGAGAATTCAGTAGTTTCCTTCCTGGAATGAGACAGAGCCGAGTTCAAATTTCAGCACTGCCACTCACCAGCCATGTGGCTGAGGGAAAGATGTGTCATCTTGCTGAACCTCAACCTCCTCGTTTGTAAATGGGGATAATAATACAGCCGACCCTTGAACAACACGGGTTTTAACTGCATGGATCCACTCATATGTGGATTTTTTTCAATACATATGCAGTCAGCCCTCTGTATCCCTGGGTTTTGCATCCATGATTCAACCACCTGGGGATCGAAAACAGTTTTTTTGATCCACATTTGGGAGTCTGTGAATGTGGAGGTCTGGCTGTATGCATTGTTCTATGCCATTTTATAGAAGGGACTTGAGCATCCGTGGATTTGGGTAACCTTGGGGTCCTGGAATCAATGCCCCATGGATACCAAGACAAGACTGAAATTTTTGGGGAGTCAAAAGTTATACGTGGATTTTCAATTGTGCAGGGGTTGGTACCCCGAAGCCCTGATTTGTTCAAGGGTAAGCTATAGTTCCAGTTCCACAGGGCTGTAGTGAGGCCTAAATGAAGTGGCTCGCGATCAGAGGTTGTGTTGTGTGCTCCCTGTGTCTGGATGGAAAAAGGAATTAAAATAGGACTAGGGCAGTGAGATCTTGAGACGGGACAGTTTGTTTTCTGTGGGGCTCGCTTCAGGGTAGTGCAGAGGCCAGTGGGGAAGCACAGTTGTACAGGAGGCACCTTCACCACTCACAGTTCCCTCTGTTGGCCAGTTCATCATCCTTGTGATTGACAGCACGGACCGAGATCGACTACTGACCACTCGGGAGGAGCTGTATAAGATGCTGGCCCATGAGGTAAGCCCCCTGCAGATGGGAGAGAGCCCAGTATACTAGCTGTGTGACCTCAGCATACCTGCTTAGCCTCTCTGAGCTTCATTCCTGAGGCCCCGCTCTCTCGGAGCCTCTAGCTCATCAGCTTGGGCAGGGCTAGTTTGTCCCAGATGAAGAACAATAGTGCTCTCAGTACAGTTGATAACAGAAGCCAGAATTGCTGGTTCGGGTCCTGATCCCACTTCACACTCTCTGCGGGACCCCAGACAAATCACTTTGCCTCTCGAATCCTCAGTTTCCCCAAGTATAAATTGGGGAGGATTATCAAATTCCTATTGTAAGGGTTATATAAGCCAGTTAGGAGGCATTCCACAAGCTGTTGGTGTCATTTGCTGGGGTTGCTAGTGTTGGGGGAGGACTCCCATCCCCACCCCACCTGGGCATGGGACCCTCTTGCAGGGACAGCAGGGGGAGCCAGGTGGCACTTGGGGCACTGGGAAGGGAAGCTGGGTCCTGACAGGCTGACTGGGGTTGGGTTTCTCTGTCCACAGGCTCTGCGAGATGCTTCCGTCCTGATCTTTGCCAACAAGCAGGACATGAAGGACTCCATGACCACTGTGGAGATCTCTCAATTCCTCACCCTTAGCGCCATCAAAGACCACCCGTGGCATATACAGGGCTGCTGTGCCCTCACGGGGGAAGGGTTAGTGACTGCTCCCCCCTTGGACCTCCAGGGCCTGGCCAAACCAATGAATGACTGACCATCAGAATCTTCTCCTGTCTCTCCTGTCAGAATCTGGTTCACAGTTAGCCAAGTCAGTTGAGCACATACTCACAGTTGAGATGCTGTGGGTCAGCAGTGAGAGAGAAAGTCCCTGCTCTTAAGAGGCCTGTTCTAGTGGGGAGAGAGGTGACAATCTACCTAAACACAAACATTTTAGGTACTGATAAATGCGATGAAGAAAGTGAAATTGGATAACAGTGATAGACAGGTGGGGATGGGTCTGGTTTAGTTCTGGTGGTCAGGGACAGCCTCTATTAGGAGGTAACTTTTGAGCTGAGACCTGAATGAATTGGAGACAGCCATGGGAAGACCAAGAACAAGCCTTCCAGGCAGAAATCACTGACTCTTGTTGACCTTGAATTTTCTGACCTGTAAAGAGGAGGGTGATTATACCTATTCCCTCCCAGAGTTTCTGTAGAGAGTAAATGATATGGTTCATTCAGCATTTATTAAGTACCTACTGTCCCAGGCACTGTTCTAGGCACTAGAGAAACAACAGTGAACAAAACAGACAAAAATACCTGCCCTCATAGAGCTTATTTTCCAGTGGGAGAAAACAGACAACAAACACTAAAAATAGAAAAATATATGGTAAGTTAAAAAGTGCTAAGTGCTCAGACGAAAAGTCAAGTAGGGAAGGAGACTGGAAGTATGTGCAGGGGATGTTACAATTTTAGATAAGCTATCCAGGGAACAACCGCTGAGAAAGTAGCTGCTAAGTAAACACCTGAAGAAGGTGAAGGAGCTAGGTCACGGTCATACAGGAAGGGTCTTGCATCAGGTTTGGAGAATTCCCTTTTCTCTTCCCTCTCAAGCGGAATCGTAGCAAGCTGAGGACCTGGATCGCTGGTTGAAGAAGGGGAGACTTTAGGCAGGTCAGCCCAAGGAACCACACCTTTTTGGCAGTGTCTTGCCACCCCCTGGGTCAGGAGGACCCCTCTCCCCCAACCCACAGACAGTTCAATTCAACTAGATTTCCTAAGTACTCCGCATGTGCCATGCACTGTACCAGGTGATACAGACATGACCAAGAACACCCGTCTCCTGCCCCTTGCTGTGGCATTGCTCACAGTCTAATGGGGGAACTTGCTTATGGAGTCTCTTCCCAGGCCTTTGATGTCACCCTCCAGCGATGGAGTGGGTAGGAAGGGAGCATTGGAGTTTTGCAGAGATATTGCTAAGATGGGTCTCCAGGCCCCTTCTTTAGAGATGTCCCCCTTGCCCCACTGACTCCCAGACATCCAGAGGCCTCTGTACATTGCCTTCCTAACCTTTATCACAGTATATAGTTATGAAATTATTTGTTTAATAGCCATCTCCTCTGCACCTCTGGAGATGTAAGCCCCAGGGTGCATGTCTGGTTTTTTTACCAGTAACTACAGCCCCTAGCGCAGTATCTGAAGCATAGTAGGTACTCAGTTTGTTTATATTTGTTGATTGAAAGATTGGATGTAACTTTGGTCATCCCCTCAGTTGGCTTTGGGTAGGGGCTGGGTCTTGAAGGGCATCATTCTCATGGGATATGCTAATCCTTGCCCTCTTCCTCCCTTCCTGCAGACTGCCTGCTGGGCTCCAATGGATGCAATCTCAGACCACTGCCAACTGATGTCCAGGCCTGAGGCCAACCAGAAACTTTGGGGTTTTGTATGGACTATGTGGATGGAAAACCCAAGTGATTATTTATTAATTTTCTGTGATTCTTTGATGGGAGCAGGGGCAGCGATGGACAGTGACATTGCCGCTGTCCACCCAACCTCCGACAGAGCAGCTAGACTGCACACCCTGAATTGCTGCAGACAGGACAGCAGGAAAAGCTGCCCCTCACTCCATGGAAGCAGGCGTCCTTCTTGGAGACACCAGGGAAGCTCTTAGATGTGTAGGGGATTAAGAAGTGGAGCCTCCTCCCCTCAGCTCTCAACCTCTCTGTAGGAAAAACGGAGGGAGCTGAGTAAGAGACCCCTTTACTTCCTAGAACCCCACCCCTTCACCCCAACCCCAGCTTTTTGGCTCATCAGCCATCTTTGGGCAAAGAAGACTCTACAAAGATGAAGGGGGTGGGCTCAGAGGAAGGAGGGCAGACCCAAAATCTGGGAGGGGAGAGGGAGTGGGACAGGACATCCCAGACAGGGACAGTCCTTGGCACTGAAAGCAGTTCCACTCCTCCCTTGCCGTCCCATTCCCTCTGAGATGCTGGCTCTGACCACAGCTTTTGAGCTTTAAGCCACCTCATCCTATATCCTTCACTTCCAGTGTCCTTCCAATGTGAATCCCACTTCTGCCAAATGTCCCAGGTTCCTCGAACACGGTCTGCTTATCTTGTCTGTCTTTTTGTAATGATTTGTTTTCACACTGTATTAGGATTTTTATAAAGGTATAATAAATGCCGTTCAAAAGTACTCACGTCTTATTTCTGCCTGCTTGAACAGGGTCCCTTAGGAGTTGGAAAAGTCCAGGAGTCCTATCTACGTAGAGCTGGAGACAGGATAGAAACCCAGGCTTCCCTGTATACAGGGGCCGGTGTTATTACCCCAGAAGACATGGGATGGTCTTGGGGTTAGTGGCTCTCTCTACTTCCCAAGTTAGGCAGGCGAGGGACTGGACACAGATATAGAGGGCCCAGTATTCTTTAACCCTGTGGTTTTCCTGAGGCGTGATTGTGGAGGAAGAACTCAGGAATTCTAGTCATCTCTGCTTGGATTCTGTGTTTTCGTTTTCTCATTAGGTTATCCTAGTACAACCCTAAACACAATAAAAATACTGCTTCCTTATTCCACAGAAATTGATCCTAACGAGCAAGCTGTGGGAGGAAGGGGGTATAGCTCAGTGGTAGAGCATTTGACTGCAGATCAAGAGGTCCCCGGTTCAAATCCGGGTGCCCCCTCTGTGTTCTAATCCAGTTGAATATTTTTTAGTCCTGCAATTCACTTCCCAAGGTTCATTTTTAGGTGACGGGGTGCGGCTTCGGGCACTGCCAACCTCTTTTGCGGACGGTGAGGATGGAGACCCGGGCCCTGCCAACTCAAGCGCTCAGTTCGTGTGTGTGTTTAAGGGTGGAACGCAGTACGAATGAGGGTGAGGACCTCTAGGTTGACACCTGTGGACCGTACAGACGGCCCACTCCCCTAATGGTAGGGCGGAGGCGGACGCACTAGCAGGTCCGCCTGGCCAGTGACCCGACGGCTGTTATCAGGGAGGGAGGCTGAGTTTCTCAGGGAGGGGCTTGAGCTGGGGAAGGAAGACCCAGAGAAGCCCGCGTGACCATGTGGGAGGGAGAGAGGGACGCTAAGTAGCAGTAAGGGCAGGAGAAGGTGACCCCGGCCCAAAGGAACGCCCGGAAGTGAGGGATCTTGAAAGATCTCGAGGGCCTCCCTTCCCACATTGCATTTTTCTTACACTATCAGTAGAAACCCTTAGCTCAGAGCTTCAGGAAACAAACCCTGCATTCAGACAAACAAACCCTGTAATCGCTTGAGATTTATATTATTTTTCTCTATCGTAAACCACTTCTCTTCGTGAATGCCTTACGGCGCCTGCGCAAAAGCAAGGCTAAGAGACTACCTGCACTGCAGCAACCGACAGATGGGGGTATAGCTCAGTGGTAGAGCATTTGACTGCAGATCAAGAGGTCCCCGGTTCAAATCCGGGTGCCCCCTTCCTGCCTTTTGAAGGCCCCAATTCCGGTGTTTCAAAAAACAATTTTTTTCCAAGATTTTATTTTTTCTTCCACATTTTTATATTGACGTTTCCTTCGTCACCTCCTTTAGGCAGACGAGAAGCAGTGAGAGTGCAAGAAGCGAAAATCTTAGAGCAGTGGCTCTCAAAATATGGTCCCAAGACTAGTACCATCACCTGGAACGTGTTAGAAACTCAGGTT